ATCCCAAGGTAGCTTCGTGGCCTTTTAAAAGTTTGGGCATATATATCATCAGGCTGATTGACCCTCCTACTTCAAGGGGTCATCACTTTAGTTTAGAAGTGACTGATTATATTTTAATGTGGGTGGAAGCAGTCCCATTAAGAAATATAACTTCACACCATGTAATGAAGAAACATATTGAACTAAGCTTATAATTTATCGACTCAGCGTGTCTAATATAATCATATTTGATAATGGGTACACTTTCAAACCTACGAAGATTAATAACTTTGCAAATCACCAAGGTATCGATTGGATATATTTAACAATCTATTACCCATGGTTAACTGATTGCCAGAGGCCTTCATTAAAACCTTGGTTAAAATCTTCAAAAAATGCTAGATGTTAATAAACGACAGTGGGATGAGAGGTTGGTGGAAGCTTTGTGGGCCTACCGGACCACTTACCGAACATAAATCCACACCATTTGTGTTAGTGTATGGATCTGAGGCAGTACTCCCTCTTAAAGTTTTAAATTCCTTCACTCATAATCACAATCAAGAATTAGATCACCACTGAACAAAATGCATAACTCTAGTTGAAGAATATCTCAGCAAAACATAAAGTTATATAAATGCTGAATGGTTCAAGCTCACGATAAGTTAGTGTGAAGTAGAACCTTACAAGTAGGCGACTTAGTTTTCGTTCTTCAGAGAGCAATGTTCACTCACAAAAAGATTGGTGGGAAGTTTGAACCAACCTATAAAGGACCCTTCATAGTAGAGATAGTCTACAAAGGATGCTCATATCAACTAGCAGATTGTAAAGGAAATCACTCAATGCTTCCTAAAAATGGGCATTTCTTTAAGAGATATTATGCTTGATGTATCTCGATATTGTAATCAATAAAATTTTTAATTTTTGAATCTACTTGACTTAATTTTGTTCAATTTTTCAACTCCTAGAATCCTATTCTCCTTTCCATGATGTTAGGTGTGAGTCCCTGTACTTCATTTCCTTAGGATTAGAATTAATTTGGGTTAGATAGTTTTTACCAAAATCCTTAGAGGTATAGGTAAAAAATCTCCTTGGCTTGTCCCCCTAGTTAGATATGAGCCTCAATGCTTTCTTGTTGGGTTAGTCATTGAAAACCCAATAGCAATTAGATCTTTTAAGAGTAGGCACGTGTCTCTGTACTTTCTACCTCCTAGGATCTCGACTGATTAGTGGTATATTTAAGCCTGTTAGGTCCCATCCAAGTTATTCATCCTCTTTTCCTTAAGGCTAGGTGTGAATCCCTATGTTTCCTTTCCTTAGGATTAGAATTAATCCCGGTTAAATAATTTTACCAAAATTCTTAATGGTTTAGGTAGACTTTCTCCTTGTCTAGTGCCCCTCATTAGATGTGAGTCACCATGCTTTTTAGTTGGGTTAGTCATTGAAAACCTAAAAGAAATATATTCTTTTTGTAGTAGGTGTGAGTCCCTATGCTTTCTACCTCCTAGTATCTTGACTGACTAGAGTTGGATTTAATCCTATTGTCCCCCATCCAAGTTAGTCATCCTCTTTTCCATATGGCTAGTGTGTGTCCCTTTACTTCATTTCCTTAGGATTAGTGTTAAATAATTTTTGCCAAAATCCTTAGAGGTTTAGGTAGACTATCACCTTGACGAGTCTCCCTTATTAGATGGTTTAGTCATTAAAAACCCAAAAGAAATTTGATCTATTAAGAGTAGGTGTGAGTCCCTATACTTCCTACCTCCTAGGATCTCGTCTGACTAGTGGTTGATTTTAGTTTGTTCGGCCCGTTCAAAGTTAGTTATCCTCTTTTCCTTAAGGTTAGGTATGAGTCCATGCGCTTCTATTCCTTAGGATTATAATTAACACATGTTAGATAGTTTTTTCCAAAATCTTTAGGGGTTTAAGTAGGCTATCTTTTTAGCTAGCCCCCTCGGTTAGATGTGAATCTATGTTCTTTCTAACTGGGTTAGTCATTAAAAACCCAAAAGAAATTAGATCTTTTAGGATTAGGTGTGAGTTCCTATGCTTCATACCTCCTAGGATCTCGATTGACTTATGGTCAATTTAAGCTTGTTGGGTCCCATCCAAGTTATTCAATCTATTTTCCTTATGGCTAGGTGTGAGTACTTTCACTTCCTTTCCTTAAGATTAAAATTAATCTTGGTTAGATAGTTTTAGCTAAAATCCTTAGAGATTTATGTAAACTATCTCCTTTAATAGTCCTCCTGGTAAGATGTGAGTCCCCATGCTTTCTAGCTGGGTTAATCATTAAAACCAATAGGAATTCAATCTTGTAAGAGTAGATGTGAGTCCCTGTGCTTCCTACATCCTAGGATCTTGACTGACTAGTGGTTGATTTAAGCATATTGTGCCCCATCAAAGTAAATCATCCTCTTTTTGGTGTGAGTCCCTCTGCTTCCTTTCTTAAGGATTAGAATTAATCCAGGTTAGATAGTTTTTTTTCAAAATCTATAAAGGTTTAGGTAAAATATCTCCTTGGCTAGTCCCTCTGGTTAAATGTGAGTCACCGTGCTTTTTAGTTGGTTTAGTCATTAAAAACCCTAAAGAAAATCCATCTTTTATGAGTAGGTGTGAGTTCCCGTGCTTCCTACCTCCTAGGATCTCGAATGACTAGTGATGGATATTTTTCATTTCTAATTCTAATTTGATTGATATATTGATATTTTCTTTATATATATATATGGAATTTAATTTCTATTTAGATATATAATTTATCTAGATCTAAATAGTTTTCTTTTCTATTTTAGAAATATAATTTTTCTAAATAGAATAGAAAATATATAACTAATAACTAAGAAATTGAAGAAATTGAAATAATCAATAAAAGAATTGAAAAAAAATAAAGCGGTAATAAGTTCTAATGAATCAATCCATTCATGATGCATTTTTACAATTTTTACTAGGCGAGGCATCCAAGGGTATAGTTCATTTATAGGTTGATTGGAGGATATAAGCCTGATCAGCCCCATCTAAGTTAGTCATCCTATTTTCCTTAAGGCTAGGTGTAAGTTCCTGTGCTTCCTTTCTTTAGGATTAGAAATAATCTGGGTTAGATAGTTTTTGCAAAAATTGTTAGAGGTTTAGATAGATTATCTCCTTGGTTTGTTTCCCTAGTTAGATGTGAGTACATATGCTTTCGAGCTAGGTTAGTCATTGAAAACCTAAAAGAATTTTGATCTTTTAGGAGTAGGTGTTACTTCCCATGCTTCCAACCTCCTAGGATCTCGACTAACTAGTGGTGGATTTAACCCTATTGGGCCCCATCCAAATTAGTCATCCTTCTTTGCTTAAGTCTAAGTATGAGTCCATATGCTTTCTTTTCTTAGGATTAGAATTAAATTAGATTAGTTAGTTTTTTGCCAAACTTCTTAAAGGTTTAGGTAAACTATCCCCTTTCCTACTCCCCTTGGTTAGATATGAGTCCCCATGCTTTCTAGCTGGGTTAGTCAAAGAAAACCCAAAAGAAATTCAATCTTTTAGGAGTAGGTGTGAGTCCTCGTGCTTCCTACCTCCTAGGATCTTAATTAACTAGTGGTGGATTTAAGCCTTTTGGAATCAATCCAAGTTAGTCATCCACTTTTCGTTAAGGCTAGGTGTGAGTCCCTATGCTTCCTTTCTTTAGGATTAAAATTTATCTAGATTAGAAATTTTTTTCCAAAATCCTTAGAGGTTTAGGTATAATATCTCATTGGCTAGTCCCCCAGGGTAGAAGTGAGTCCTTATACTTTTTAGCTGGGTTAGTCATTAAAAACCCAAAATAAATTTATTCTTTTTGGAGTAGGTGTGAGTCCCCGTGCTTTCTAGCTAGGTTAGTCATTAAAAACCCAAAAGAAATTCGATCTTTTAAGAGTAGGTGTGAGTCCCTGTTCTTCCTACCTTCTTGGATCTTAATTGAATAGTGTTGATTTAACTCTGCTGAGCCCCAATATAGCCCTAGGTCACTAGATTTAGAGTTAATTAGCATTTTACAAATGGATTTTCAATACATAAAATCAACTCCCTATGCTTTCTATTCATCAACTCAACTTATGTTCAAAAGTTCATTAGATTTGGTTCATCTGATCGAGCGAACTAGGCAAAAAACCCTTTTTTGCAGACCCTGGGTTATAATATTAAAAGGTACTTGCCTATGGAGATTTTTTATTTAATTAATTTAATTGATGTTGATTGCAATATAAGGTTATATATTTTTAGTAATTTTTTTGGCGATCTTGCAAATTGATTTTGATTTAGCCTGGAAACCGATCGGAGGCTCGTGAGGAAATGCTAAAAATTCTTCTATTTAAATAAATTAAAATTTTTAGCCAACATAAAAACTTTAACAATTTTATGAAGTAAGCCTTGGACTGTCGGGATTTTGCATAAGCATTTATGTTTCATTTTCTTTCCATTGTTTGGCTCCTCCCCTCCTACTAGTTTTGGCAAACCACTTAGCTTATGATGGTGTAGATCTGTTAAAGGGAATCTGTGCAATCCTTAGAATAAAATTTATTTTTAATCCTTTTTTATCTTGCTTCATTTTAATATTAATCATTTATCGAGTCAACTAGCATGCATCACATTAGAAATCAATTAAAGAGTCAAATAAAATTTTAATTGCATTTTACTCCAAGCTTCATATCACCCAACATAAGTCATGGGGTCAAATTAGGATCTGCTCTAGATGTCGCCCCCGCTATCCTCAAACTTAACTTAATTAAATATCCCTACTACTCTTTCATTAACAACTAGACTCAAGATTTTATAGTGCCTAGGTGGTTAGTTGGATCACCAATTCAGGCTGGGGTAAGACCAGATCTTGCATTGCATTAGAAGGTTTAGTTTATTAGTTTTCAGTACCCAACTTAGATTTATCTTTTAACTTAAGATCAGGTTATAAAACCTTAACCTCTAGAAATTAAATCCCAACCTTCTAATAAAATTGACAATTTAACTTGAATCTCTTTCAGACAAAATTCAAGCCCAACACATAGAATAGGATGGGGTACTTTTGAAATGTTTCAGAATCCCAAAGCACCTCCTACCTTTTCTCCCTTAACTTCCAAAAATAAGTGCTTAACTTTGATCCAATCTCATTTAAAAATTCCAATCCTTTCCTCATTTGACATCATGCTTTGAAATCTCAAAATAAAATTTCCACCACTATTTTAATTGTGGATGTTTATAGGAAATTTTGATTTCCTATGATTTAATTAATTATAAGAGCTTGTGCTCGTAGAAGATTTAGATACCCAATCAATTTTTTAAAAAATCATTCTTAAAAAAAACTTTAATTAATTATTTTTGGGAAAATCAAACCTCGTGATAATTATCGTCATTTTTAAATGATCGATAATGATTGATATCTTCTTTCCTTTGAGAGATATATCAATTACTATCATAATTTTGATTATGAAAGTAATGATCCCTTTATCTAGATTTATATAGTCAAACACTCAATCAAATTTTATTTTGACCCTCCAAGGTCGTATGTGATTCTTTCCTGAGTTTGATTAAGATAATCATGATGAATTTAAAGTTTTATAATCTAAACCCATTAGGGAATAATATATTTGTCCCCCAAGGCGATATATTATGGTACGTGTTCGATTTTAAAACTAAAAAATTTGAGAAATTATCATTTCCTAGAGATAATTAACCTTTTCAAACAACTTTTTTCAATCAAATAGCCTCCTATAAACCAAGATTCCCCTTTAAGGACTAGTTCCATTGCTTCCAAAGTCTTAAAGGTGCAAACTAGCTAATCCATCCCAATGCTAGTAATTTGGAAATCACCGAATCTTGATCGTTACCTATTAAGTTCATTAGTAAGGATGTTAATGGGTACTTTTTTCCTAGAATTTTTACAACTAATGCATTCACAAGCTTCATAACATTAAATACTGCATTTTTAGAGTGAAGCAATTTTGTTTTATCATCATTTTAAAAAGTTTTGATGTCTTCTACATTTGTCACTGTGGCCTTTTCCAAACATTTGATTTGACTTGATTAAACATTCTCATTTGCAGAACAAACTTCTTTGGCATTAACATAAATATCTATAGGGGAATAAGGTTGCTCAATCTTAGATTGTTGATTATTTCCCTCTCTTATAGTGGGAACTTCAACATTTGAAATACAATCCTTATTACTTAATATTTTTTATGAAAAAGCTCTATTTGCATTAACGAAAAGTATATTAGTTTGGTTATGAACTCAAATATCGTCATCTTCAAAAAGATAACCATCATCTTCCTCAAGAATAGATAGCGTCGTCTTCCCCTTACAAAAAAATGGAACATCTTTAAACATGGATGGCCTAGGAAAATCTTTTATTTCATTAATAATCAAAGAATCATTACGTGAAAGGGGTTTTCCCAAGAAAACTCCCACGCGAAGCATAGAAAGAGCCCATATTTGCAACATTGTCATTCCATGAACCATCATTTGAAACAAAATTACCGTCATGAACGAGGCCACCTCTAGGAATGAAATTGCCACCCAGAAGTGGCTGGAGGTCGCCCTCCACCATAACAACCCACTGCTAAAACCCTGGAACAGCCAAACTCGAATTTTGAAAAAAATGGAAAAATTGTAAATTTACCCAAACCAACTCTCTCTAACTCAAACTCAAAATAATAATAATGCATGGTGTTATTATTGATGGGGATGATATCAATGTTTTAAAAATGGTTCAAGAATCTATGAGGAATATGAAATGACAACCAAGGGGTTCAGTGAATAATGAATTTTTTTTTCTTTGAATGATTTCAAGAATATGGTTTTTCATTATAGTTCTATAGAGTATAATAAATTAAATTATTTGTGCGCCACTTTTGCTTTAAGTATTAGTTTTTTCTATAGTCTTTTTTTTATAACAACATTCCTTCTTTTATTCAAATGTTAAAGGAAAGTGATAGTTGTTCTCTCTTTGGTAAATTGTAATAGCTTTCTTTTCAATGCTTATTGTATGTTTAAAAAAAAAGGATAAAGCAAACAAAAATAGCCTCATTTTATTCAATTTATTATTTATGGTCTATTTAACAATTTAAGTTCATTTGAATTGGTTTATTTATATAAATTGAATTGAATTTTATTTATTAATTGAATGTATTTAATTTAAATCTTTTATTTATTTATTTATTTATTTCTTTATTTATTTACTTATGTTCACCAATCTCATTTTATTATATTTTCATTTATTTATTTATAATTGATGTTTATTTATTTATTTATTTATTCTTCTTTTATTCATTTATTAAGTGTTTGACGAATGTTTGAATTGTATTAAATTTTATGTTTTATATAAAGTCTAATTCAATTTATTTTGTATTTTAAAAATTTTTATTTATTTAATTTCTTGAAAATTAGCGCTATTCAATATTTTTTCCCACTAATTCATGTTTGGTTGTCGGTTGTGGGTGGTCACTATCTCGACCATGCGAATATTGAGTGCGTTGGATGATGACTAATGTTCTTAATTCTTCAAGGCAAAGAAATATAAAGTCTAAGATTAATAACATTTCAATCCCTCGTAGTGGGAGATTGTTACCTGTGCTGTTTGGACATAAGATGAGTCCCAATGTTAAATAATACATAGTAAATGCTTAGCTTTATAAAAATTATATATAAAGTGCCGTTAAAGCTTCGTCAGATACCACACGATTTGCCTCAGCCTTTCGTCCTTTTGATTGCGAACTATTTTCTAACTTGAAAAAAAATCTTTACAGTGCCGCTATACATTCAAGAAGGCGGTGACGGAACCAACTGGTCCCCCATCTTCAGTTCTCTAACAGCCACCATGGTTGATGTCCCATCCCCTTTTCATCATCCCAAATCGTTACAAAACACCACGTGGACGTTACAGTCGTATAATTTCACACCCAACTCACCCATATAATTCATGTTGAAGTCTCTCTTTTGGTCACATTACTAAGTCTCAAGTCACACTCCTTTTATTACAAGCAATTCATCGCACCTTTTCACATTATAAGAGAGACCACTCAACGTCACTGAGAAGCCTTCGTTTTCCTTGCTTCTATTCCATGGCTGGAAACACCTCAACTAACGTCGTTCTCTTTCTTCTGGTTTTGGTATTTATGTGGAACCCGTTGATTTCATTGTCGTGGGATAATCCGCCGCCAGAATGCCCGGCATGCCTGCCTCCGCCGTCAACTGAATGTCCCCCACCACCGCCATCACAACCGAGTAGTTATTCGCCGCCACCACCGGGGTCCATATATTACTATTCTCCGCCGCCACCGCCAAGTTATGTACCCTATTATTCTCCTCCCACAGGTTATTTTTCGACGCCTCCCCCGCCAAATCCTATAATTCCATGGTTCCCATGGTACTACCAGACGCCTCCTTCGGCTTCCTCTGGTTGTGGCAGACGAAAGATGGGAATTTGGCTTGTCAATTTCGCTGCTGTTTCTTTTGCTTTTCTCTTATGTTAATCAGTATTGTTGCCTTTTGATAAGATTTTATTTTATTTTATTTTATTTCTGTTAATTAGTACTAGAGATTGTAATTCGAGAAATGTTGAAGCTAATGCTTCTTAATTTGTTCTCACAACTTTTGCTGAACTTTTTCGGAAGTTTACGCCCGAAAAGAAATATGGAATACAAGATTCATGAATTATTGCATCGCAAATAAGGAAAAATAGTAATGGTGGTGGCTTTGGTGGGCCTGTTTGCTATATTGGCTTTGGCTATAGCTTTTTTATCGGTTTAAGAGAGCAAAAATGAGGGCAAACCCTTTCCTTTTTAACTTTTCCTTTTTCTAGTTTCCATATTTCTCTAGAATATATATATTTTGTGTAAATGCTAATTGTTATTTTAGAATATATTAGATTCTATTTCTAAGGCAAAGGTTGATATTTCTTTCTTTAAACGGCACATTTGTACATTGATTGATCATGCAGAACGCGGCTAAAAAAAAAAAAATCTGGAGATAGGCTGCTTTCATAGCATTTACCATGTGGTTGACGAAAAAGTTTCCAAAAAAATTAAAAAGATACATTAAATTTTTTAATTTACTCTACTTAAAATTTCCTTGTTTTTAAATTAAAGTTTAATCAATAAAACAATTTGCCAATATATATATATATATACATATGAATTATTTATGAGGAATTTTTGTTTTAGAGCAGGGTCATTATCATGTTCAATTATTAGAAAAAGAAAGAAAAGTTGCGTCGTGCATTATAATTGCAAATCAAAGGGCAGTTAGTTAGAAAATTTTAAAGAATCCTTGAATATTTGGACGCTAAAATCTTGTCAATTAGAGCATTAAAGTATCTTTTTCTGTTTAAAATGGGTAGGAGTGGAGTCACAATCATAGCCGACGTAGAAGGTGGAACAGCTGTCGTGCATATGCTTCCATGTAGAATAATCTTTTATCTAATTTAGGCACGCTTTAAGCAATTGGATGAGTATGAAGACTTTGATGTGCCCCTCCAACTACCCCTTAATTTTGTTTTGGTAATTATTATAGCTTTAAATTATTTTTAGCCATTCCATCAATTTATATTATTTTTTTAGGAAGATTCATCTTGGGAATGTTGGGAATAAATTCACATAATGAAAACAAATAAGAAAAATGAGAACAGTGAAAATAACACAAGTATTTTACATGAAAAAACTAAGGTTGTGAAAACCGGACCGGACAACGAACCGGAAGAAGGAGTGGTTCAAGGTTCGACCGGTTCGACCGGTTGAACCGGGGTCGAACCGGATGATGTAATAAATACTAAATTGATAGCATATAATGATTGTTTCATATAACAACCCATAGTAAAAACATAATCCATGCTCTTATGAGTGCAACATCAAGTTTTTCGCACCATTGGAAGTAATATGTGAATTAATAATTTGATAGATATTCTAGAAGTGCTTACATATTTAGTCATATTTATATCATGTATCTTGTATCTTATCTATTATTTTGCTTTTTTTTTTTTGGAAAGAAAAATTTGGCCTATTTTGATTATTTTACTTTCTATTATATAATTTTTTATTTTCCATTACATGTGTAGTCTATCAAGTAAGGAGCCCTTATTGTTTAACTTAGATATTGAGAGAGCCATTACAAAAATTTAAAAATCCAGAAAGATTTTAAGTTTAGGTTTAGATGAACTAGTTCAAGATTAGGATAATTATATACCTCTTAAGAATTATGGCATTCTTTTAGTTGATGAAATTCGCTGGAGTATCAGTAGACCTACTTTCTAGGCCAATATAATTCAGTATAATGGCATCAATGATAATGCTATTAGGCTTTAATTATTTCTTTTTTAATATAGGGTAAGGAAAAGATGTGAATGCATTCCTTATTGAAAGTTTGAGATGCACCAAGAGGGGGGGGGGGGGGGGGGGTTAAAAAATAATCATAAATAGGAGTACTAACTTTTTGTAGATTTTCCAGACTTTTTAAATAAGTTAATTAAATTTTATAATGTGAAAGCAAACAATTTTAATGACAATGTCAATGATAATAATGATGCTCCTACAAGACTCATTAAGGCCACAGAAGGAGCAAGCGTGCAGCTAATCTAGAGCAACCATGTGATCCCCTCACACTACTTCTTCCTCACACTCAAGCTCACCTTCTCCTACCTCTCACAAACCCTAATTTTCTTCAAAAGCTCCCTCTCAATTTATATAGTAGTTCGGTCAACCTTGACCTACGTCCACTCTTTCGAGTCCACTCCAAGTATTGCACTAACCTTAAGTGACTCTCCTTTTGCTCCTTCAACAAGGTGGAGAAGCCTTTACAAACTCTATTCCAACAACCCGGTGCTTCAGAAAACCCAAAAAAATTAAGTTGGCCACAATGTTCATACAATACGATCTTAGTTTGTGTAGTTCAATCAATTCAGTATGATGTAAATATTCATCCAAATGAATTGTTCAAATTTAATGAACATGTCATATGGTTCTTTACCTCATTTTTGTATGAGGTCACTAGGACTAGGCCAAACTTTAAGATCAATCTAGATCTTAGACCAATCTAAGCCTTAATCCAATCCTTTTATCTAAAATCATCTAATTGATTATGAGTGATGTGCTTAATTCAAATTCAAGCAATTAAATCCAAAATCCATTTTAAATCCAGATTTTGAAACTAAATCTAAGGGTAAAAGGGCCTATCCTTAAAGCCTTTTCCAGTGGGTTTTTCAAACACTTCAAACTTCATAGTCTATCAATTGTATATTAATTAAGCATGACTCTAGGGTTTACCCTCCAAATTTGAGCTCATTCTAAAATCTCTAACCACAAAAATTGAAATAAAATCCAAATGCTGTAAAATCATCAAATATTTACGGCCTATGCCACTATACCCGCCACCTTGTAGATTTTGAACATGGAGCATTCTGTAAACCCTATGATTAAATACAAACCCTTATTTATAACATTTTGAGCATTAAACTATATTTTGAAGGACCCACTTTGACCCTTAGTTGATCAGGGGTCAAAATGACAAAAATGCCCTTAAATAATTTTGGAGTTTTCTCTAAACTCCAACAAGGACTTTTCAAATCAAATCCTAGAAACTCTTTCAATGCATATTAATCATCATTAAAAGTGCATAGGACTCAAACCCCGACCCTGGTTGAAAAGGTCAACCAAAAATAACCAAAATACCCCTTAGTGGTATGACTAGTCCTTTTGAATCAAATGACCAAATCTTTGGATGGAACCACTTCCATTCAACTCCAAATACTAAAATAAACATGTTGGACCCAATCTAAGCCCCTGGGTCAACCTAGTTGACCTAGTCAACTAGAGTTGACCTAAATGCCCTTTAAGGGTCAAATATGTTATTTTGACCCAAATCAACTTCCCAAACTTTGGCATCACATCCAAGAGATTCAAAATATCAAACCAAACTCATTAAGTTCAAACCTAAGCTCTAGGTCAACCTAGTTGACCAAGTCAACATAGTTTGACTAAATAACCCTTTAAGGGTTAAATGAGTCAATCCAATCTATATAACCAAATCAAACCATTTAATCCTTCAAATTCATTTCAAAACAGTCACAATCATGATTCAAATATTTCTAATTTTTATTTTGGATTAAACCCTAGTTAGCTTGACTAAATCACTAAGTCAACTCAAAAAGATTTGTTCAATCTCCTTTTCATACATATGTATACATTCAAATTCTAATTTCCATAGCCTAGAGCTCCTCAAGACTACTCCAATCAATTAGCATGAATATTTTATTACCAACTCATTAGTCAAAGACATAGTTGACTGATCTGAAAGTTCGTTAGGGATGTTAAGCCCTATGAACCGGCCCAAGGCTAACCAAGAGGGGGGAGGGTGAATTGGTATTTAAAAATTCTTTAAACAAAAGAACAAATATCACAAACCAAAGTCACCACAGAAAAGTAAGTGCTGAAAATTAAAGTGCGAAAGTAGTAAAAGGAACACAAGGGTTTATAGTGGTTCGGTCAAATTGACCTACGTCCACTCCCCGGAGGCTCCCTCCAAGTATTGCAATACCAACGTGACTCTCCTTTAGCCCCCACAGCTAGGCGGAGAAGCCCTTACAAAAACCTCCTTTTTGCCACCCCCAGCAAGGCAGAGAACCCCACTCCTTTTACTTCCTCCAGATGCAGGCAGAGAACCTCGATCAATCGCTGAAGCTTACCTCTCCCAACCCTTCCAAGGACAAGAGACTCTAGTGGAAGAAGAAGTGGAACAATGCTTGGAGTAACCCTTGTGAACCCCCTCACAAGCTCCCCCTCACAAGATTCTCTCTCTCTCTCTCTCTCTCTCCTTTAGGTTTTCTCAGGTCAAGACAGCAGTCAAGGATGTTCAAAAATGTTGAACAATAGCTCTTAAATAGAAGAGCTTCAAAGGAGCTCAATAATTGCAAGTTGCCAACTTTATCGTCCAGAACGATCATAATATCGTCATGTACGATCAGTTTAAATCACAGATGATCGGCCAAAATACCGCTCTAAAAATGAAATGGACGATAGAAAATTGGCTTGATCATCCTGGCCGATCTCACGATCATCCCCTATGATCAATTCAAATCAGAGGAAAATCGTCCAGAGCATCGCCCTGAATTCAAGCTGTCCAATCATGATTAGCTAGAACATCTCCCTGAATTTGTGCTGGCCGATATTTATCATCCAGGAGAAATTAAGGATTTTTGAATATATCATCCAGGATGATCCTGAGATCATCTAGGATGATGTGATCATATCAATTCATCCTTAATTGCTTCCTTGATTGCCGGATCAATTTAGGCATTATTGTGCAATATCGTCCAGGCTGATCCAAGATCGTCCTGGCCGATTTCAAAAATACAGTATACTTAAATTGATTATGGCGACTATTTATTTCTATTTTGAGCCTATCATCCTAGCCAAGGTCATGATCGTCCAGGCTGATAGACTAATGACGGCTACCTTAATTAAGACACTTGATTAGGGTTTATATTTTAAACCATATCGTCCAGGACAATATAAATATCATCTGGAATGATGTGAGTAAAAATATAAATTCTAAATCACTCAAGTGTGTGTGTGTGTGTAGGGTTACTTAGCATCAGACACTTCACAAGATTATAATTGACTTAAGAAAGGGAAAAAGAAAAAATACAAACTGACTCAGACCTA